TGAACTGGTGACCTTCTTGCTGCGAGGCAACGATGCTAACCACCGAGCTACCTTGCAGGGACTATCCTTACCTTAATTTGGTCACTGACCTTAGAATCCACAAACAAATCAGCACAGGCTCTGTCAGTCCTGGACATAAAGTTTATTTATATAGTCAACCAGGAACTTAAACACCAGGATCAATATCACCAATACCATGGGACACGAACCAGCATCCCTCTAGCTGCGAGGCAACAGTGCTACCAACTGCACCACCTTGCAGCCCCAGTAGGTTACACATTTCTCAAATACAACTTCAGTTAAGCAGGTTTTATTTTAATCTAGTTTTGCTTTTAACTAATCTTCTTGAAACCCATGAAGAGGTGGCAATGTTCTTTAGGCATATATTTGAAAAGTAAAAGCATCGTCCCAGTGCGTCTTCACTGTGATGACTATTTATTTATATAACTCAGAACTCATAGAGCCATGCAAGACATTCAGTGCATTTCTTTCCGTTGCATAATTTTTCATGATATGACTGCATAGGACATTTTGGCAGGCAAAGCCTACCCATCCATGCAACAACTGTCACACTTATGCTACTGGAATCCTGAAATATGCTACGAGATTTCCCTACAAAGAAAAAAAAAGATTTTACTCCACTGCACAAACACAAGCTTTGGAGATAGAATCCAGCATGCATTACGCACAGTGCTAATTTTAGGATTGTGTCCTTAAACGCCATATATATAAATCCCATATGCACCACGTATTAAGGCCGTGTCCTCACTGCAGCAGCGTCTGTTTGACTCCATTCAGGGCCTGATGCTGCCCTTTGCTCCCTCTCCCTCCCATCTCTGTCTCTCTTCAGCTGTCCTTCACATAAATAAAGATAAAAAAAAAATAAAAAATCTCCCAAAAAACATAATCTTTAAATAGTGCCACAAAGCCGTTTTTTATCATTCCTTACCACGCCATCGCTGATGACATTGCAAAACCGAGCTCGCCCTCCATTCACAAATCTTTCCACGGGAAAGATAATACTGAATATACTTGCTTGAATTAAAATTAATCTTACACAACCGGATGAATCTGTCAGGGGATCAAATATGAGGTCAAATATGACTTTCTTGTTCTCATTTTGGGTTTTGCCTCAGATGGTTTTAAGGGTAAGCAATTTTGACAAAAAATGTGTTCCCTGGACGTCTCCTTGCATGCACTTGCGGCTTTTTCTTCTGTTTTTATTTTTTTGCACATTGATTATTGGATCTCTTTAAATGTCATATGTGGTTTCATTAAAATTCAAGTGCAGCTGCTTCTCAAGAAAACAGC